CAGGAGCTCCCGGCCGGGAATGTCGGGCTCTGCCATGGCAGCACCGCCCTGGGCCAGGAGCTCTCCCGCCCGGGTTTGTTGTTCAGACACGATTGCATATGTATGAAGGGGACAAGATGGGCTTTGACACATAAATTAGCACTTGTCAGCTGCTCCCGGGAACACTTCCCTGCTGCAGCCACCGTCAATTCCGCCTTCCCCATCGCGGCAGTGCCAGGCACGGCGGGCAGGAGCGCTCCCGGGCAGCGCCCTCGATCACAGACCCCAGCTCAGGGGCACGAATGGCACAAAATGACACCGAAATGAGCGCCAAGTGACACTTCTCACTCCCGTCATATCCGGAAATTCGGGAATGACACAGGACAAGGCTGATGAGACCTCAGGGCAGGGATTTCTCTGAGAGAGGGGTGACCCCACAGCGGTGCCTTGGGGGTCCCTCCCCACCTGCCAGGTGCTCTCTGGCTGTCCCTGAGCTCAGTGGGAACAGCCGCTCCCACATCGTGTCCTGCCCTCCTGGCAGCTCAGCTCCACCTGAGCAGTGCCGCACCAGATAATCGCGAATATTCACACGTTTATCCCGATAAACGCGAATGGCTGAGCCAGCCAGCTCCACACGCAGCTCTGCAGGAGCACACGGGGCTGCACATCACAAATACCAACAGGACCAGGGCTCTCAACAGCCCCAGAATCCTCCCAGGAGCCAGCTGGAGTAAAAGCATCTCAGCAGCAACCACCTCACAATGAAGCAGAGTTGGAGCATTTTTCACAGCATTTTTCACAGCCCAGCCTCTAGCAGCATCTCCAGTTGCTCGTGTGCAGACCACAGCAAGAACAGTTGAATGCACTGCTAGCAGAGTAAATATTGCTTTTCCTGTGAGATCCACACACTCAGAGATTCAGCTTGAGCTCTGGGTGCTCTCAAAGCTCTCAAAGTCTACTTTCAGTTCAAACCAAAGGTCCCACCACCTGAAAAGATGAGAGTGTTTCGTCCAAACATTGGATTCACCCAAACATGAGCCCAAGAGTTCACAGGGAAAGGACTTCCCCAGCCACCAAATTAGGGATCATTTAGGAATTGCAGTAAACACACTGTGAGCTCATGGCTCATTCTTCTCCTCAACCATACACCAATAAATTGGGGCATGGCAGGACTGTGGGAACTGCCTGAGCTGGGAGGCGGTGCCAGCAAAACAAATCTCATGATCTTAACCTGGAAAGGTTGGGTTTTTTCCTTTTATTCTGGTTTTAATTTCTTATTATTTTTCTCCCAAGACGTTCTTAGCACAACACCCCGAATTAAAACCTTTGAGCTGTAGTCTGGGGAATCCCAGTAAATATTCTTACCATATTTATCTCCATCTTCTCCTTTGGCACTGATCCTCCTGCCGAGCACCTGGATGTGCTTCCCGCTGGTCCTGCTGTAGAGCTGGTAGAGCCGGAGCTGCTTCCTGCTCACATCGTCCCTCGCCCGCGTCTGGTTCTCCACGTGTATCCGAAAATCCACGTTCTCCTCAGCAGCAAACATCTGAGAGCACGGGGAGAGAGAGCAGGGCAGGCTGTGAGCACACAGGGCTCTGGGGACAGGGACTGCACACCATCCTGCCAAGGGCACTCATGTCTGGCTGCTCTTCCTTTGGCATTTGTGTAATTCCACCCAGAGCTGCCTCTCCACCAAAACCAAACCTGGGGGTTACAATCAAATCGGGGGTTCTTGAATAAAAACTTCTGCTCGTCCCTGCTTTGATTTAATCCTGGGCAAGGGGGAGACTGGGCAGCATGCACCCAAAAACCCCCTTCACACCCAAACAACAGGAGAGCCCCAAAATTGCTCCACGATCTGTTCAGCTGTGATCTGTGGAGAATTTGCACCACAACATCCACACTGTCCACTCCAAACTCACAGGTGGGCAATATTCTTTACAGGACAAGAAATGACTTAGAAATACGGCCTGCAAGCAAAAATGTTTCTGATGTATCAGTGTGGGGAGGGAACTGGCAATGAAAATGGAAAAGGTCAATAAATCCTGGTTCAGATCCACTCCAGACTAAAACACATAAAGAAAGTGGTCACAGCACAGCAAAGAGCCCCACTGCAGCCTCCTGCACATCATCTCATACCAGCAAATACCGTGAAGCCTGGAAGTGCAAACCTCAAGAGAGCTTTGCAGCATTCCCAGTTATCCAGGGACAGCAGGAAGAAAACCTGAGGCAGGCAGTGCTGAGCTCCAGGAAGCACCCTGAGCCAAAGCAATGAGGTTCTGGCACTGAAATCTGGGATTTTGGTACTTGACATTTTGAGCAGAAAGTGATTCAGCTCTGATTTTGCTGTCAGAAGCCCACAGGGAGCTGAAGGCACAGGCACAGGGTGGGTGAGGGAGGCTCGGGGCAGTGCTGGGACATCCACAGCCATGCCAGAGGTGACAGACAGGGCTCACAGTGTTTCCCCTGCCAGCAAACAGCACAGGCAGGAGCTGTGAGCCAGGGCTGGGCTCTGAGAGAGGAGCAGCCCCTGGCAGAGGCCAGGGCAGGGTGGAGTTCTGCCAGCACAGAGCTGGGCTCTGCTTGTCCTGTGCCCCCCAGGCACCACAGCTCCACCTGAGCACAGCACACAGGACCTGCCTTTTGACAGAAATCACATTCATTTCTTTTTTTCCTTGCTGTGTCTTTCCTTGCTTTCTTTTCGAATCCCACTGTTGCCAAGGATGCTGAACTACCAAAGCCAGGGATGTTCCAGTCATGCTGACAGTCTGCCCTGTGCCCACAATGCAAGGCTATTTGCAGCTACAATTCTGGCTCCATCATTTTAAGATTTAAAACAGATTTTAAATCAAGATGACATCGTTACATTGCTTTCACCACATGTTAATGAATTTCACATTTTTCTAGGAAAAAAAAACAAAACAGGTGGGATTTGAATTGGGGGAAGGGCAGGTTGCTTTGCTTCTTTGGAAACTCCCAACAGAAAATACAATCTATTTTCCAAAACATGTTTTAATTCTCTTCTGATTGTCCCTGGAGCACTCACACTGCAGAGCCCCTGCCCACAGCTGCAGTGCCTCAGTGGGCCCAGGAGCACCCCTGGAGCTTCCTGCTCAGAGCTCAGCTCCA